CGGGAGGCTAAGGGACACGCTTATGCTAAAAAGACTTTAAAATGATTCGACCCAGCCGGGCCGCGGTGGCTCACGCCTGTAATCCTAGGCTCTCTGGGAGGCCGAGGGGGCGGATTGAGTTCAAAACCAGCCTGAGCAAGAGCGAGACCCCGTCTCTACTACAAATAGAAAGAAATTAATTGGCCAACTGATATATATTTAAAAAAAAAAAATTAGCCGGGCATGGTGGCGCATGCCTGTAGTCCCAGCTACTCGGGAGGCTGAGGCAGAAAATGTTCAGACCCAGAAATTATGTTTCTAAGAATGCATCCTTATGGAGATCAGCTCGAGATAGGCACCGTTTGTCAAAATATGTGAATGGAAAACTGGTAACGACCTTTCTAACAACTGGAGATTGACTAAAACACCCACGCTATGCAGCTACAGAAAAAAACTTAATGAATTCGTGTTTAACTTTAATTAAGTTAAAAAAAAACAAAGAGCCAGCTGTAAAGCCATGTATGCTTTGATAACTCACACACACATAGAAATGTTTGAAAGGCTACGGCACCACCTCCTCCCTTCGCGCCCACTGTACCCCACAGCCCCGAAAGGAGACTGCGCTGGCCTCGCAGGCCAAGGAAGGGGCGGCAGGACCCCAGGGAGGGCGGCGGGCACGTACCGAAGAGGATGGTGGAGATCCTCCTCTGGGCGTACATGGTGAAGCCTTCGTTGAGCCAGAACTCACCCCAGTTGGCGTTGGTGACCAGGTTCCCAAACCAACTGTGGGAGATCTCATGGATGATGACATCGGCCAGGGAGCGGTCCCCTGCTAGCAGGCAGGGGGTGACAAAGGTCAGACAAGGGTTCTCCATTCCTCCAAACGGAAAGGATGGCGGCATGAAGAGCAAGTCGTACCTGCCGAGAGGACAGGAGGGTCACAGAGAGGCCCCGGCCGCCCGGCGCAGACCCTGCCTGGCCGCCCGGCGCAGCGGCTTTCCCGAGCCTGCAACACGCACTCGCTAACCGGGCAGAGAACCGTCTTCCGCCCAGCACTGACAGTGAAGACCAGACTCCTCTATCCCTCTGCCAGGCGGCCTCCCTGCCCTGCTGGGACTTCCTTTCTCCAGGTGGCGTTTGTTCTCTTCCGTTTCCCTCTCTCCTTCCAAGCAGGATGCGAGCACGTTACGAGCTCTGTCACGTTTGGCTCACTGAGGCCATAAAGGGTCCTCATAAAGACCTTGGGTCATGAAGACCAAAGTGGAGGCTTTTATCTCTGGAGCCTAAAGACTGGAGAGGTCAAAGGGAAGGAATGGCGCGTGGGCAACTTCCAGCGGTGAGGAAGAACAGGCCAACGAGCGCCCCCAGTGTTTCCCCATCTCAAACTTGGGGACTGCAAGGCACGTTTCTGTCACCTCCAGAACCTCTCTCCTGGGGTCCCCTCCTCAGCAATGACGGGGAGCTTGGCTCATCCCTTCCTCTTCTCGTCCTCCTCCCCCTCACTGACGGGGTCAGGGGACTGTCACTCTGGGAGACAGAAGGAAGAGAGGCAAGGCCAGGAGGGGGCGTGGAAACCGGGGCCCCGGCCGAACGAAAGACGCACCTTCCCCACACATAGGGTCCGAAGAGTTTCTCTCCCGTTGCCAAGAATTCTTCTATCACCCCGTTGTACTCCTTCTTGGCGGCATCAATCAGACAGGGCTCGGCCCACACCCGGCTCCTGCAGGCGGGAGAACAAGGGAAGCAGAGTGCCGCTCAGCGACCACGGCCGTGGCCCGAGCCAGAAAGCTCCTGCAGGAGAAAACCGGCCTCAGTCCCCTGTTTGGGCCGAATGACCGTGACAGTATGTGACGGTATGGCACGCACGCCGCAGAGACAGAGAGGCAAGGCCAGATCGCCCGCACAGATCCGAGAGAGACGCTCACCGCACCTGAGCGGGGAGAGCCCAAGGCAGCCTGGTGGGGGTGGCCGCTGCCGCCTCCTGCAACAGCGTCTGAACTCGCGGCGCCGAGCTTACGGCGCCCACACCCACCGCGGTCTCGCGAAAGGCATTGCGCCTCTCTGAGCCTCAGTTTCCTCATCTGTAGCGAAGACGAAACAAGACAGCATGCAAAAGCCCCCCACAGAGTGGCTTACATAGTAAACCTACGGATGAGACAGGGGAAGAAAGGATTGTAATAACAGAATCTTTGGAGTTGAAAGGAACCTTAAGAGATAAACCTACAAATGTTAATAGAAAATGGTTTCTATCTTAGGTGCAATAATGGCATTGTGGTTATAAGGGAGAATGTCATCATTCCTCAGAGAGGCACACGGAATTATTTGCTTCTAAATGGTCTAGCAACAACAAAAGCAAATCCACTCATGGGTAAAACCGACATGACAAAATGGATGGCCATACAAGCGTTCACGGCATCATCCTTTCAATTTTCTGTATGTTTGGAATTTTCATAATAAAAAGATGGGAAGGCTGGTCCGAGTGCAGTGGTGTTTGCGACTAATCGATCACAACCAGTTACAGATTCCTTTGTTCCTTCTCCACTCCCACTGCTCCACTTGACCAGCCTTAAAAAAAAATTTTTTTTTCAAAAAATAAAAAATAGGCCAGGCGAGGTGGCTCATGCCTGTAATCCTAGCGCCCTGGGAGGCTGAGGTGGGCGGATTGCTCGAGCCCAGGAGTTTGAGGTTGCCGTGAGCTAGGCGAATAAAAGCCGCTGGTAAACTCACTACCCTGGGTGCCACAGAGTCGCAACCTCTGCTCTCAAAACTAAAAATCACAAACAGTAATTAAAAATTAAGACAGAGCACCGCCGCTGCCCGGTCGGTCCACCGCTGCTAATCCTACCACTCTACAGGAGACGGAGGCGCGACGGATTGCTCAACGCGTCACGAGAGTTCCGCACAACTACCCTGAGCAACGCAGCGCAGACACCGTCTTAACTATCAATACCGCACAATGAAATTCAATTGGCCACTAATTACCTACACCACAACCACTCTCGCGCGCACTCGCGAGTTGGGTCTGCATCGCTCGTCGATCCAGCTACTCTCGGCAAGCGCTCGACAGAGCACGCGCGCTAGACAATTCAAGAGCCAACCGCGATTATCAGCGCTTCGCTCTCGACGCCTAGGCACGCAGCACCACATGGCCTTCACCTACGCCCTGGGCCACAACAGCAAAGCACTTGTCTCCAAACCAAACACACAAACTAAGACAAAAAATATAACACGGGCAACAAGAGTGACATACGGAGGAAACCACAAACAATGCACGAAGATGCCAGTCATGCAACCGCATGCCAAAGCACTCGGGCTAATCTGCAGCCAAAGCCAGCTGCCCGACACAGAGCTCCTGGATGCGTGAGGAGCCGCTACTCCGTGCTGGACGCCTGAGCTGACGAGCCAGGGGCAACGCTGCGGCGGGTTCACTGCAGCGAAGGGAAGCGTGCCTTCTCTCCTCCGCCATCTGGCAGGCGCTCGGGAACAACTATTCTAGAACAGGCAAAAGGCGACGGAAGGCCACTCGCTTCAACGCGTCGCAAAAACGCCGCGCTTCCGCGCGGTCACGCGCGAGCGCGAGCCCACAGCCCGGCGGGCGTGGCGCGCGCGCGCCAGCTGCGGGCTCGCGCGCATGGGACAACGGAGGCGTATACACTGCCACCTCACAGAACTGCACCTTGGAGCCATGGGAGCATTTTAAACAACAAGCTGCCATTATCAGACTTCTATAGAGATCTTCGGCTGCGGACGAAAACATGAACAAGTAGACTACACGAATCGCGCGCGTGGCGCGTCAAGCGCTCGCGAGAACGCGGCTCTGGGCGCTCGGCGCGCAGCAACCGCGCTGCGCGCCACGGAGAGACCAGGAACGCGCGCAGGTAGGAGCCTCCGACAGGACAGGGCGAGTGCTCAGGACCAGCAGGAAGCGTCTACAGGGCGCGCACCGCGCAGCACCGCCGCGCGGCGCTTCACGCCACGGTTTTTCTCATCTTCGAGGCGAGTGGCCGATCTCCCTACAGGGTTTCCTTTTTTTTTTTGAGACAGAGTCTCCTCTCTGTTGCCCAGGCTCAAGAGTGAGTGCCGTGGCGTCAGCCTAGCTCACAGCAACTCAAACTCTAGGGCTCACAGCGATCCTCTGGCCTCAGCTCCGAAGTAGCTCGCGGGACTACAGGGCAATGGTGCCACCTGCCAGATAACTTTTTTATATAGTACCTATTTTTTAGTTGGTCAATTCAACTTCCTTTTCCCTATTTTTTAGTAGAGGACAGGGTCTCAAACTCCTGACCTCTGAGCAAATCCGCGCAGGGCCCCTCGGCTCCCCAGAGTGCTGGGATTTACAGGTGTGAGCCACCCTGCTGGGCCCCTACTGGGTTTCAACAGCACGACAGGGGCCAGGGGGTGCTGGCAGGGGAAGCCGGGTGGTGTGCCGCAACCGCTCGCCCTGGAAGGGAGGGAGGCCGGGGGTGGCCTAGAAGAAAATATGGAGTCAAGGGGGTTTGGGGTTTTTGAGTTTGTTTCTTGCTTTGTTTTAGTCTAAGAGAGACCGGAGCACACCCAAGGCTGAGGGGAGGCTGCAGATTGAGGACAGAGGGGCAAATGGTACAACACGGCCCCGGAGGACTCGGGGAGGGACTGCATCCCCAGCCAGGAAGACACTTGTCGCTAACGAGGAAGGGATGAAGAGAGATGAAGAAGACTTTTTCACCAGAGAGCGTAGGAAGCGGACATGATCGTATCTGACAAAGAAGTCAATATTCTCAGCAAAGTAGGAGACAAGATCGTGCGCTTGGGCGGGGTGTGGGGTTTCAACAAGAAACCTGAGACCATGATAAAGTCTCAGAACAGCTTCGGGGAAGTGAGACGGGGAGAGAGATGAAAGGACTGCCGAGCAACCTTGAAAGCACACCTGTGCTTGGCTTGACGACTACCTTGGGTCCATCTTTCTTGAGAACCACACGAATGTCTATTTCAACTTTCCTTTCATCCCAGCTTTTCACCGGGAAACTAGACGCGTACGGCGCGATCACTGCGCAGTTCCGTTGTTTTCTGCATCTCCCCAGCGCCCAGCCACAGAGGCGGAGAAAGGGAATTGCGACCTATAGCATACGACTGAGGGTTGGGACGTGACGGCAGCAGACGGTGGGCTTGGAGTATCCGTGGGAGACGATCGTCGGCCGCGCTCCTGGGCCAGGGAGAGAAGCCAGGAGCCTCGGCTGCCAGGGACAAAGGGGGGGGGGACAAAGCGGGGGACCCAGCAGGAGGCCGCCAGGAGCGGGAGGAGGAGACACGCGCACGCGTGAGGCATCAGAGGGCTGAAGGCGAGGAGGGCGCAGGCAGAAGACCAAGGAGGGCAAGGCGCTTGAAAGTTCCGGTATGGTCAAGTTCACAGCAGCGACGGCGCCCAGGCCCCCAGAGCGTGGCCGTGCGCCTGGCTGGCTGGCGCAGTGGAGATGGCTTCCCAAGTAGAGGAGGCTGAGAAACCCTGAAGCCACCCTCGACCCCACAGGTTAGACGGGACATCCACATGCAGAGGAAAGCCACCAAAGATGACGGACGTGACAGGACACCAGGCTAAGGAAAAGCCCACGGCACAGGAGGCAAAGTCTCCAGGGAGTTAGTTCCTTGTGAGCTGCTTCGCCCCCAGCGTGGACACCCAAGTGAACAAAGTGGGTCAGCCCAGTGGACTCGACCTCACTACAACTAGGAGGACCGACACCGGCTACACAGGGTCACCCCGGGCCCTGCCACCGGGACGCACGTTTCTGTCAGAAGAAGTCAGGGTGCTCCAGTCAGGTTAGGATCTCATCACCAGCAGCACACAGTGCAAAGGGCCCTAGGTTCATAATGGAAATACCTGAATGTTCACGTTTTGTTGGCATGGCCTCGTGCGAGCCATGCCACCAGGGCCTTGGTTTGCTTATCTGCAAAATGGAGACAACATCATCGTCACTGAGTCTGTGTAAGGACTAGAGGAGACTCTACATAAAAGGGCTTCCTGGGATCTACCCACGACTTTCTTTTTTTTTTTAGACAGAGTCTCACTCTGTTGCCCAGGCTAGAGTGAGTGCCGTGGCGTCAGCCTAGCTCACAGCAACCTCAGACTCCTAGGCTCAAGCAATCCTCCTGCCTCAGCCTCCCGAGTAGCTGGGACTACAGGCATGTGCCACCATGCCCGGCTAATTTTTTCTATATATTTTTAGTTGGCCAATTAATTTCTTTCTATTTTTAGTAGAGATGGGGTCTCGCTCTTGCTCAGGCTGGTTTCAAACTCCTGACCTTGAGCAATCGCCCGCCTCAGCCTCCCAGAGTGCTAGGATGACAGGCATGAGCCACCATGCCTGGTTTACCCATAACTTTCTTTTGTCCAGGATTCTTTCCCTGTGGGAATGGGGACTGGAACCGGTTGCCTACTTTGCCAGAAGACACCCCGCCCCAACATAACTTACTCCCACAAGACATTAAGATGTGACTCATGAGGCATGGACTGTCCGACAGGGAAGGAATAAGCCATCACAACTAGTTCAATGGATTCTGTCATCTAGTTCAACATACTATGTTGTCACTCTATTACAGAGGGTTCAGACAAATAATTATTATCCAATATGTTTAGAATCCATTGTTCTCCCTTTTCCCATTAATAGTGCATACTCGTACTAATAGAACCTTAGTAATGGTAGATTCTCTGAAATGACGTTCCTTCTTGTCCACTGCATAGATGACATCCTGGTTATCTACAACACTGCCTATCAGGAAGACAGCCCTCGCCAGGTGCGGTGGCTCACGCCTATGATCCTAGCACTCTGGGAGGCCCAGGCGGGAGGATCGCTCCAGGTCAAGAGTTCGAGACCAGCCTAAGGAAGAGCCAGACCCCGTCTCTACTAAAAATAGAAAGAAATTAATTGGCCAACTAAAAATATATGGAAAAAATTAGCCGGGCATGGTGGCACATGCCTGTAGTCCCAGCTACTCGGGAGGCTGAGGCAGGAGGATGGCTTGAGCCCAGGAGTTTGAGGTTGCTGTGAGCGAGGCTGACGCCACGGCACTCACTCTAGCCTGGGCAACAGAGTGAGACTCTGTCTCAAAAATAAAAAAAGAAGACAGCCCTTTGTGGGAGGACGTTTTGCCTTTCGAGACTGGTACTGTGTTGAGTACCTGTTAGGAGCAGATACCAGTGGAATCCCGCCTATTATTCCATCTGGTACAGCGGAACTAAGACTCACGAGACCAGCCTTGTCCCTGAGCCCAGGTATGAAGGCTGAGGCTCGTAACTCACCTTGCCCAGGATGCCACTGCCTCCAGGAGCCGAGAGCAAGGTCAGAGATTAAGAACAGCAACAGAGGCAGGAAAAGGGTCACAGCTTGACTGTCGGACCTTTGATCTTCTCACACAGAGAGTAAGCTATCCTGGCAGATGACATGATAGCCAGGAAAAACTAATACTCCTGGGCAGATTTTTTTTCTCAGGAAACCTTGCAAAATCCTTTATCTCCACTAAATCCATCTAACTTCACAGAGGAATCGCTGTAACCGCAGGTTTAAGTTCCTGCGTCTGCAGCAGACAGAATGGAGAGTCTGCTTTCCCTCTCTAGAGAGTAATAACGACACCAATGTTGTGTGTTTCCAGGAATTAAGTGCTAGAGCAAATGGGGAGATGTGGTACAAAGGCAAAAGAGAGAACACGGTCGATAGAAGGGCATTTGGAACTGAGAGATACTAATCAGGATCAGTCTTTTTTTTTTTTTTTTTTTTGAGACAGAGTCTCACTTTGTTGCCCAGGCTAGAGTGAGTGCCGTGGCATCAGCCCAGCTCACAGCAGCCTCACACTCCTGGGCTCAAGCGATCCTCCTGCCTCAGCCTCCCGAGTAGCTGGGACTACAGGCATGCGCCACCATGCCCGGCTAATTTACATATATATTAGTTGGCCAATTAATTTCTTTCTATTTTTTATAGTAGAGACAGGGTCTCTCTCAGGCTGGTTTTGAACTCCTGACCTTGAGCAATCCGCCCGCCTCGGCCTCCCAGAGTGCTAGGATTACAGGCGTGAGCCACCGCGCCCGGCCAGGATCAGTCTTTTAAACTGCTGCCCACGTGGCAGTGTCACTCCACAAGGCATCTCAGGACAGTGGCGGCTGCCCAGGGGACCGCCGATCTCATCCCAGACGGCAGGGCCGGGCTGGAGGGCAGGGGGGAGGAAGGAGGGGAGAAGAGTGCTGCCCGCCGCGGCATCACACCACAGGGTCCTCCGCTGCAGACCGGCTCCGGACTCAGACAGAGGGCCCGAGGCCGCCCCAAGATCCCTCCGCAGCAGGTCCACTGGTGACAGGGTCCTCCTTGCCTCCGAGGCCAATGCAACCTTGCCTGTGGGGTCTTTGTTTCCTACCTGGGTCCAACTTCAGCCGAAACCAGGTCTCCGATGGCCAGAGCTATCAGATAGGAGGGGATGGGCTGACACATCTGGAAGAAGAACTTGTTCGGACCTCTCTTCTCCCAGGTGCTCGCGCTCATCACAGCTGTGAAGCCATCTGGGACCTGGCAACAGAGGAAGCTCAGCAGGCGTTGCCTGGGGACACTCTCTTTCCGATCAGCTCCCAGAACAGCACGCCCAGCAACCCGCCTGGCGCACGGCAACCACCCAGAGTCCACCCTGGAGAACACCAAGGCTTCCAGAAACCAAACCCGTGCCGGACTAACGGGATTCAGAGGAAGGCCACACACGATTTCAGTTAGAATTTAAAAGTCAGCCATTATTCAGAGGTACCACTGGATGGATATACTAATTTACCAACTGGCTGACGTGTGACCTGGTAGCTCTAAAATCAGGTTCTTAACCCCAAGGTGCGCCTAACCCTAGGCCCCTTACCTCAACAAGAGCTGAATATTTGCACTTCACCGCAGGGGTGTCGAAGCAAGGGAAGAAGGCCCGGTTTAGCACGGCCTGGCCCTGGGTGTAGACAAAGGGCTTCTTCTTTCCTGCCGTCTGCTCAGGAGCCAGCCAGCAAACCTGAGAGAAGGGAAGAACATTTCAGAGCCGACATCTCCCGTATGAGCTCAGTCTGGCCAGAGAAAGGAGCTGGCTGGCATGGGAAAATTCCGGGTGAGCCATAAAATCTCTGTGCCAGCCAGCCTGGCTCTGACGGGACAGCTGCCTCCTGCTGTGCATCTAGTTCAGCCAGGGCATGATGTCCGCCTCACAAGGCAGAGCCACCACCAGGAGCCCATTCCTCACTGTGCCCCCTGGGCCACCTCAGGAATCCCCGACCTGGCCTCGGACCCTGTCGTCTGTCCTCCTCCTGCGTTCTTCTCACTGTAGAAGTTTCTCATCAAACAAACAAATACGGAAGCAACCGTACTTGGAGAAGACACCAAAAAGCAGAACCTTGCTAGGAGTCACCTGATTAATGTGTTCTTCATTCCTAAAATTTACCTTCTCAGAATAAATACATTTTATATTATAGGCATTGGTTATATGATTTTTTTTTTTATGGACAGGTCTACTTTTGCTTTCCAGCTAGAGTGAGTGCAGTGCGCCTACTCAAGCACACCTCAAACCCTCCTGGGCCAAGCGATCCTTCTGCTCAGCCTCGCAAGTAGCGGGTATCACCAGCATGTGCCCACCATTCGCGCGGCTATTTTTTCCTTTTTTATTAACTATCAGTGCCCAGTTAATTTTCTTTCTGTTTATAGTAGAGCACACGGGGTCCCCGCTCTTGCTCAGCTCCTTCTGAACTCACGTGACCTGACAATCGCCCCCTCGCCCCAGAGCTAGATGTACAGGCGTGAGCCAAGCCCGCCCCCTTTCTTTATTATCTCTCATTTTATTTTGAGACAGAGTCTCACTGGTGTTGCCACCTACAGTGCGTGCTGTGGCGTCAGCCTGGCTCACACAGACCTCAAACTCCTGCGTCGAGCAATACTCCCCTCCAGTCCTCCCGAGTAGCTGGGACTACAGGCGCGCACCACCATGCCCAGCTCATTTTTTCCATATATTCTTAGTTGTCCAGCTAATTTCTTTGTATTTTTAGTAGAGACGGGGTCTCGCTCTTGCTCAGGCTGGTCTCCAACTCCTGAGCTCCAATGATCTTCCTGCCTCAGCCTCCCAGAGTGCTAGGATTACAGGCGTGAGCAGCCTGATCCTTCATTTGTTTTCTGTTAGCCCTTAAAACCAAGGGCAAATCTGAATGATTACAACAAACTCAATTCCTGCCTACAGCAAAAAGGGGTTCACTCACAACACAGATACAACGGGGCGGAGGAAATGTCAGTACCAAGGAACATTTAGAATTTAGAAAAGGACTGGGTTGTGGCAGGAAGATTTCACAGGGGAAGCAAAACTTTGAGCCTTCAAAGGCCAGCAGGATTTAGGTGGCTGGAAAGGAAAGTGGACGTTCACGAGGAGAGGCCGAAATGGCTGCGGACTCTGGGATGAGTGGGGGGCTCTGCAGACAGAGTGGGGGAGGCATGCCCGGGCAGGTGGAAGGAAAGGCTGAAGGCAGGGGTGTCTGACGCCTATTATCAGAGGCCTAAAACAGCCGCATTGGGGTGTTGGGGTTCCCTTTGCTTGAGCTGTTTGTGTGTGAAAAATGTAGTCTCGTCCCAACAAGTACAGCACAGTATGGAAAGAGGGGAGGAAAAGAGCAACCCCACAGCGGAGAAAGCTACATGAGCTAGGTGACGGAGGTCAACGCTGACAGTCACAAATCACGTCGGTACCATGTACCCTCAACGTGAGGTGATGAAAATGGCACTTTACCTTGGCGAATTTCTGCTCAAAAACCCATAATCCCAATCTAATCATGAGAGAAAAAAAAATAGTTAGCGAATGCCAGTAGAGGGGCATCCTGCAATATACCTGACCAACACCCCTCAAAACTGCCAAGGTCATCAAAAACAAGGAAAGTTTGAGAATTGTCACAGCCCCAAGAAGAACCTAAGGATACATGACAGCTAAATATAACATAGTATTCCAGATGGGATCCTGGAAGAGAAAAAGAGATTTGAAAAACTACTTAAGACTTCAGTGAGTAACAATGTATCAGTGCTGGTTCATCAACTGTAACAAATGTATCATGCTAATGTAAAATGGTAGCAATAGGGGAAACTGTGTCGCCCGCGCCGTGTGTGTGTGTGTGTGTGTGTGTGTGTGTGTGTGTGGGAGTACTGTACTGTATATGGGAAGTCTGTATTATCGGCTCAATTTTTTTGTTTGTTTGGTTGGTGGTTTTTTTTTGAGACAGAGTCTCACTCTGTTGCCCAGGCTAGAGTGCCGTGGCGTCGGCCTAGCTCACAGCAACCTCAGACTCCTGGGCTCAAGCGATCTCCTGCCTCAGCCTCCGAGTAGCTGGGACTACAGGCATGTGCCACATGCCGGCTAATTTTTCTATATATTTTAAGTTGGCCAATTAATTTCTTTCTACTTTTAGTAGAGACAAGGTCTCACTCTTGCTCGGGCTGGTCTTAAACTCCTGAACTCAAATGATCCAACAGGGAGGGGGGCGGGTATATACATACATAATGAGTGAGATGTGCACCATCTGGGGGATGGTCACGCTGGAAACTCAGACTTGTGGGGGGAGTGGGGGAAAGGGCATTTACTGAAACCTTAAAATCTGTACCCCCATAATATGCCGGGGAAAAAAAGCAAACCAAAATGATCCACCCACCTCGGCCTCCCATAATGCTGGGTTTACAGGTGTGAGCCACCACGCGCCGGCCAATTTTTCTGTTTCTTTAAAAATAAAAACCTATTAATTTAAAAAAATGACTTGACAATAGGAGCTCACACTTATATCACACATTACTCCCTATGTACCAGGCACCATATTAGGCACTGACGTAAAGATAATTTAACTTACTTCAAGCACTTAGACTAGTTTCTGGCACATCTTACATCTTAATAAGGCCTGACAGTACATACTCTTTAGGGGCTACCTACAGGAATTAGGGTGAGAACTCGCACTGGAATGGGGGCAATGAGAAGAGAGGAAGGAAGGAAGACCTTCACAGTGCAAAGAACAGTGCTTTATAAAGTACAGACCTCCGCCACTCTGTGTTAAATTAAAATTATTCAGTTATGATGTTTAACTTCCGGGGTCACTTTTAGTGGACAACTTATAGGGAGGGTTCAATTTTTCAGTTCAATTAAACAGGTTAATCACTCCGTTTAATTTTTAGTTCCTGCCCAAAATCAAGAACCGGTACATAATAGCGACCAAACACATTTACAGATGTTGTGTGTCCCTAGAGGGCTCTGGAATTTTCCTTTGCCTTAGACGTATCATCGTGTGCTTTGGACTTTTATTTATTTATTTTTTTAGACAGAGTCTCACTCCGTTGCCCGGGCTAGAGTGCCGTGGAGTCAGCCTAGCTCACAGCAACCTCAAACTGCTGGGCTCAAGCGATCCTCCTGCCTCAGCCTCCCGAGTAGCTGGGACTACAGGCATGTGCCACCATGCCCGGCTAACTTTTTCTATATATTTTTAGTTGGCCAGTTAATTTCTTTCTACTTTCAGTAGAGACGGGGGTCTCGCTCTTGCTCAGGCTGGTTTCGAACTCCTGACCTTAAGTGTTCCTCCCTCCTAGGCCTCCCAGAGTGCTAAGATTACAGGCGTGAGCCACCGCGCCCTGCTGGACTTTCATTTTCTAAACAAGTTCCATCACAAGGTTCACACATTCCCCAGTAGTGAAAGGTGGAAACAGAACTTCTCTCTGAGCCAGCCTAAGAGCAAAGGAGACGGCCTACTAGATAAGCACATTTCAACTGCAGGCAAGCAGCTTACTGTGGAACTTGTAACTCACCCAGTCCTGGAAATAACTAGCAGCCACAGCCTAAGGGCTCTCCATGAAGGATTTTCTCTTACAGGTAGGTGTAGGCCACATTCCAGCCTCTTATTTCCAATATTTCCCCCTCCAAAAACATTTAAGAGTCAACCAACACTGAGAAGGCCAAGCTATTATAAAAGTTTAGACCACCCTAATTCCAGTTCTTTTTCACTCAAAGTCGTTTGTTAATCAAATCCAATCACAGGAGGAAACAAAAATAAAGATCAGGGCTCTTGTTTTAAGATAAGGAACTGGAAGGACAGACAGAACAAAGGGCGGAGTCAGCATGGGGCTAATCAGCCAACTGTTCTCCAGGGTCACCACAAAGCAGAAGTAAAGCAGCTGATTATCAGGGACCAACACCCCAAATCTGAGCCAGGGTTAAGTGAAAGTGTAGGAATAGTTCGCTATCCCGAAGCCTCACGAGAGATCAGACGCGGTGGCGATGACCAGAGGGAATGTGGGATGACCCAGACAGGCCCCAGAGGCAGGGGAGGAGAGGCGGGAAGGGAGCAAAGGGCCGAGGTGCACGGCAGGTGGCCAGAGCCGCGGGCGCCCAGGAGAGGGGCCGCCAGCCGGGAGGAAGGCGGGGTGCGGGCAGGAGGCCGGGGGCGCGCGCGGGCGCGGGGGCCCCTCCCGGGCGGCGCGCTGAGGGCTCCCTTCCCCCTCCCGGGCGAGTCGGGGCCGGCCCGGAGGCCGAAGGGCGGCAGGAAGCGGCCGGGCGGGGCCGGGCCGGGCCGCGGACGTACTCACCCCGGGGCCCTCCCCGACGCGGTAGGTGAGCAGCACCTGGAAGCGCTCGGCGGCGCGGCAGGGATGCGGGAGGGCCACGCACAGCGCCTGGCCGTAGTGCGAGAAGGGCCGCGTGTGGAAGGCCACCGGCTCCGCGGGCGGCTCCTCCGAGCAGGGCTGCCCCCGCCGCAGCGCCGCCGCCGTCACCTCGAGGCACGGGTGCGAGTCGAGCACCAGCTCGGGGGCGCCCTCGGGCAGCAGGCAGCGCAGGTCCAGCACGGCCGTGCCGCTCAGCGCCCGGCTGCCCGGGCCCGGCCCCGGCGGCCCGAACGCGGCCCGCAGGTCCAGGTGCAGGTGCAGCATCTCGAAGGCTCGGAAGTTGGAGGCCGAGGCCACGTCCACGGCCTGCGCCGAGTGCAGCGGCCGCCCGGCCGCGCCGCCGCCTTCGCCGGCCGCCGGCTCGCAGCTCGCCATGCCCGCAGCGCCGTTGCCTCAACAACCAACGAGCCGCCACGCCCGCCCCCGCCGCGGAGGCCCGCCCCCCCCAGGCCACGCCCCGCCGCGGGAAGCCCCGCCCCCGCCACGCCGCGCCCCCTCCGTGCGCCCCGCACCCGGCCTTCCCGGCGCCCCGCGGCTCCTGGGGTGGAGAGGGCGGAGGGACCATCGGGCCCACATGTGTCCCAAGTTATGCCACCGCGGCATTACAGTTGTCGCTGCGGGTCGCCCTTCCCCGCGGCTGCTTCCCGTTTCCCCTGTCTTCCAAGCAGGCGGCGGGGAGGGGCGGACCCAAGGCTGCAAGGGCCCCAGTTCGAGATCCCTGTGTCACCTAGGGCTAAGCGCCCGAGAAAGGGGAACCTTTTCGAGCCTCTCACCTATAAAATAATATCTAACGCACTTGGTAAACGGTAAGGCCCCACACGACGTCACGGAATTCTACGCCAGATCCAGGCTCTCCCCAGCGACCCCAGGCGGGCCTGTTCCACCTGCCTGGCGCCGAGGCCCCACACCGCACCGGCAGTGTTACCGTAGCCTTCATCGCCCGTCGCTTTCCCTTCCCTTACTGTAATGCACGTACGGCTCACGAGCTAGGACATCCCTCCTGCACGCTCTGTTTCTCCTCTGTACCATGGGCTGAAGTGGCCTTTCTATGAATGATGATGATGTTTTTATCCATCAATTGGAAAACGAGGTGTTTTGGGGTTTTTTTTTGAGACGGTCTCACTCTGTTATCCTGAGTCATCCAGAAAGAGCTCTCAATGGCTGAAGTTACAACAACCCAAGCAAATAAATAACAGTATTTGACTATAGCACCCACATAACGGAAATACTCGAGTCCATACTGATAAAAATAAGTAAATAAATAAATGGAAGAGATGATTCTTCCTTACAGCAGAATTCCAATTAATGCATGTAGAACGAATGAGAAACAGAAAATCGGTTAGAGCACCAGGTACCAAACTTAGTGGACAAAAGTGTAAGCAAAAACAGGATATTTGCACAGTTTTAAAGTTTCTCCCCCCTAAATATTTATTAATTACAAAAGGAAACAATAGTAATCTTACTATTGACTGGAGAAAGCCAGAAGATACCACTTTAACCAAGTGACCAAGGTTAGTATCATCAGTAATAAACATAGGTACCATCTACCCACAGATATGATAACCCGAGAAGAGTGTATTGTCTCTGTGGTGTCCTTTCCAATAACGTGTAACTGTAATAAGAATACATCAAACCCAAATCGAGGGTTTCTTCAAAATAAGACTACTATTCTTCAAAAGTATCAAGGTCACAAAAGACAAGGAAAGACAGAGACAACTAAGGATATAAGACAATTTACAGAATTCAGGACCCTGCATTAGTCCTGAAACAGAAAAAAGGCATTACAGGAAAAACTGGAGAGATCCAAATAAAGTCTGTAGTTTAGTTAATGTAACTAACGTCTTACGTTTTTTTGGTTTTTTTAGACAGAGTCTCACTGTGTTGCCCAGGATAGAGTGCCGTGGCATCAGCCTAGCTCACAGTAACCTCAAACTCCTGGGCTTGAGCCATCCTCCTGCCTCAGCCTCCAGAGTAGCTGGGACTACAGGCACGCGCCACCATGCCTGGATAGTTTTTTCTATATATTTTTAGTTGGCCAATTAATTTCTTTCTATTTTTAGTAGAGACTGGATCTCACTCTTGCTCAGGCTGGTCTCAAACTCCTGACCTTGAGGGATCCTCCTGCCTCAGCCTCCCAGAGTGCTAGGATTACAGGCACAAGCCACCACGCCCGGCCTAATGTCTTAGTTTTGATACTTGTTTTATAGTTATATAAGATGTTAACATAATGGGAAGATGAGTGAAATGTATACTGGAACTATTTGTGCAATTTTTCTATAACTCTATAAGGTTATCTTAAAACTAAACAATAAATATAAAAAATACAAAGAAATACATAGGAATGACAAACACCAAATTCAGGACATAGATGAATGAAATCAGGGAGCTATGCATAAGGAATTTCAACTGTGTGAAGAATGTTTATTTCTCATGCTATGGGGAGGGTACATGGATATTTAATATATTTTTATTACATTTACATGCCCAAAAAATCTCATAATACATCTCGTCTTAAAGCTTCAGACTTTTGAACTAGGTAAAGTCATATCTACCTATAATTTATTCATTCACTCAATAGTTATCAAATATATATTATAAAATGTGGTTCCTGTACTCAAGAAATTCAATTTCCTCAACTGTTGAGATTCAATCCTGCTTCTCCTGTATGGGTTGTGGGCACAGTCTCTGCCACAATGACTCAACTCTGCCATTATAGCAAGAAAGCCACAGACAATACATGTATGAACACATGGCTATGTTCCGTAAGTTATTTACAAAAATAGCTTGGGTGTGGTGTGCTGAGCCATGATGTAACAGATTGAACAGAATTTAGACAATGAGTTTTAACTAAAACTAACATACCACAGGGTGGAGCTATGATCACGCTTTCATGATTTGTAGACATTTCATAAGTGAAAACAGATGCTCGTTCAATAGCAGGTGCAGCTGTACCCACGTCTTCCAAACCCTGATCAGAAATTCACTACTGCCTGCCAATTTCACACAAAGTGCCAGAATCTAGGAAAAACAGATGAGATCTCTCTGATGGGCATTTCAACCTTGAAATTGAGAAACTAACTCCACTACTGCAGGAAAGACATAAGGAAGAGCTCCTTCCTATCTGTTGTTGCTCCAATTATTTATTTTGGAATTAAAACAATTTGGGTGTTTTACCTTTTATCCTAGGCTCTACACTGTATACCAAATTTAGTTTTAGAATATTTCATATCAGTATTTTAAAAATATATTATAGACTACCCTGTTTCCTCTCATTTGCTAAACTAAAAAAAAAACAAAATACCACAGTCACATATACATCCTAGAAAACATCAATGGGTTTCATAATTCAATGTTAGTAGGAAATGAAGGGGAATAGATGAATAGGTATATAATAAGAAAATATTGTGGCCAGGCGCGGTGGCTCACACCTGTAATCCTAGCACTCTGGGAGGCCGAGGAGGGCGGATCACTCGAGGTCAGAAGTTCAAAACCAGCCTGAGCAACAGCGAGGCCCTGTCTCTACTATAAATAAAAAGAAATTAATTGGCCAACTAATATATACAGAAAAAATTAGCCGGGCATGGTGGCGCATGCCTGTCGTCCCAGCTACTCGGGAGGCTGAGGCAGGATTGCTTGAGCCCAGGAGTTTGAGGTTGCTGTGAACTAGGCTGATGCCACAGCACTCACTCTAGCCCTGGGCAACAGAATGAGACTGTCTCAAGAAAAAAGAAAATATTGTAAAAAGTTCATAGTGAAATCTAGGGGGGGCTTTATAGCTGTTCACTGTAAAACTGTAATGACAAGTTCGAGAATTTTCATTTAACAACGTTAGGAAAAGGGGGACAGGAAGAAAAATGAAAATTAAAAACCTCTTACAATCTCTTCTACTGTGCTGGGTGTGACAAGACAGGGGAAGGGCCAGTCCAAGCACCCTGAGAAGACCGCAAATGAGGCACCTCAGTTGAGTCTTAGATGACTGTCAAGTATGAGCCAGCAAATAAAAGGGGATGTGGGCAGAGGAGATAGCACAGTTTGCTTTTGAATGGTTATAAACACCTATGCCAGGACCACCACAGATGGTGTTATACTTACAGTTTCAAGTGAAAATTGAAGGATCAGTTTGCTTTTGCCTCTTTTCCTCTACTTCCCATCTCCAGATTGGACATGTCAGGGTATAAACCAATGCCTCCAAGAAAAGTTCCAGCAATAAGGGTGGAAAGCCACAAGAGCAGAGCCTGTCCTGACTATAGGATAAAGGAAAAGGAGGCTGCCAACCAAGAGGAAAGAGGCAAGGAAGGTAACTGGGCATGGTGGTAAGAGCCTGTGAGCTGTGGGTAGGAGGATCACTTGAGCCCAGGAGTTAGTTCAAGGCCAGCCTGGGCAATACAGCGAGACCCTGTCCCTTAAAAAAAAAAAAATTAAAAGAAGCAGTTAGTCTGGGAAACATAACTGGAAAGGTTTTTCTAGGGGTTTATACCTAGTGTCCTGCATATGGCAGATAAAATTTAAACTCCTTCCCAAGAAACTTGTTTTTCCTATCTTTTTCAATGTTCCACTCTTTTGCCCCACCCCTAATTCCAGAAAATTCATCTGTAAACAGGTACTACTTCACATATGGTGAGTTGAAGACACCAGAGTTAACCAATAAGATGGCAAAAACATACCAGCATAACATGTACACAAGCCTCAAAGAATCAGAATCTGTGGCCAGGCATGGTGGCTCATGCCTATAATCCCAGCACTTTGGAAGGCCAAGGTGGGAGGAGGATCATTTGAGCCCAGGAGCTCTGAAACCAGCATAGGCAACATGGCAAGACCTGCCTCTACAAAAATAAATAAATAAATACAATTAGCCAGGCATGGTGGCACACACCTGTAGTCCCAGCTACTCGGGAGGCTGAGGCAGGAGGATCACTTGAGCCCAGGAGTTTGAGGCTACGATTACGCCACTGCACTCCAACTAGGGCAACAGAGCAAGACCCTATCTTAAAAAAAAAAAAAAAATCAGAATTTATATGAAAGGACCTTACTTTCCAAATTGATACATCATTTAAAAGAAAAGGAATTTAGGAGACCTTAAGAAATGTAAAGCATTTTCTTGGCAATTCAACATGCTCTCAGTTTGAATTGCTCTTCTAACATACAACTCCTTGTATTTACAACTGAAAGTTGGAGAGCCATAGACTTAAAAACAAATTGGCTCCAAAAATGATATACAAATGGCCAATAAGTACATGAAGGCTCAGCATCATTAGTCATTAGGGAAATGCAAATCACAACCACACTGAGATACCACTTAACATCTACTAGGATGGCTATAATACAAAAAAAAGAAAATAACACAATATTGGCAAGGACATGAAGAAATTAGAATCCTTATGTTGCTGTTGGGAATGGTGCAGCCGATGGGGAA